AGAAAAGAGAAGAGAAGAGAAGAGAAGAGAAGAGTCAAAGTTCTTAAAACTCCCTAAATTCCTTGAATTTCCTATTAATTCCATTCAATTTCCTTTAAAATTCCTTAACATTCCTTCAAGATATGGTTGACAGAAACGTTTTGTTTTTTTTGCTAAAATGACAGGACATAAAAATCAAAGGCAAATGATATGAACATTAAAGGAAGTGAAAGGTACATGAAAGGAGTATAGATACAAGGAAATAGAAAAACATTTGGAACCATAGGCTGGGAACATGAAAGGAAAACAGAAGGACAATGAAAGGAACTGAAAGCAATCATCCTTTGGCTGATGTTACAGTTGCTACGTTGTCAACCTCACTTTACATAGGCATGGTGCAACATTCATGACATATTTGTACCCTCAGTGGAAGCACTTTACATAGGCATTGTGGCTATATATGGCTATCTATACACACTTTTTTGAAGCACTTTACATAGGTACGGCTCGTTGTTTTACCGGGTCCGTGGAATATTCTATCTGTCTATATCTGTCTTAAGTTAAGCAAATTTATTTATTTATTTTGGGGTTGAGTACTAAATCTATTGTTTAAACACTTTTTTGTGTGATTTAGTGCTATTCACCTGGTAAAATGCAAGTTTTTGGATGATTTTTACCGGTATCTTTTGAATATTCTATCTGTGAAAGCATTCTATCTGCTAGAAATGCATTTAGTACTCAAAAAAAATGTTTCTGAGTACTAAAATATTCTATCTGGTAGAAATGCACTATACTTTACTTCGAGTTATCCCCACCATGACAGTTATACGTTTTGTTACTGGCAAATCTTCTGGCATTCTATCTGACATCTTCTGGCATTCTATCTGGCATATCTTCTGGCATATCTTCTGGCATTCTACCTGGCATATCTTCGCAATATGTTCTGGCATATCTTCTGGCACTCTATCTGGCATATCTTCTGGCATATCTTCTGACATTCTATCTGGCAATCTATCTGGCAAATCTTCTGGCATTCTATCTGGCAAACATTCTGGCACTTTATCTGGCAAACCTTCTGGCATTCTATCTGGCATATCTTCTGGCAATCTATCTGGCATATCTTCTGGCATTTTATCTGGCATGTCTTCTGGCATTCTATCTGACATTCTATCTGGCGTTCTATCCGGCATATCTTCTGGCATTCTATCTGGCCGTTGAGGTCCAGCGGTGCCCACTGAGCTCGGAAGGTCCCAGGTTGAGGTCCAGCGGTGCCCACTGAGCTGGGAAGGTCCCAGGTTGAGGTCCAGCGGTGCCCCCTGGGCTCGGAAGTCGGCAGTTGAGGTCCAGCGGTGCCCACTGCGCTCAGAACCTGGCGGTTGAGGTCCAGCCGTGCCCACTCAGATCGGAAGCCGGGAGCTGAGGTCCAGCAGTGCCCACTGCGCGCGGAAGTTGGCGAAGAGATTGGCGAAGAGTTGGCAAGGCGGAAGCCGGCAGTTGAGGTCCAGCAATGGCCACTGCGCGCGGAAGTTGGCGAAGAGATTGGCGAAGAGTTGGCAAGGCGGAAGTGGACATGGAAGTGGATGCAGAGATGGTAGAAGAGAAACTGGAGGAGGAGGAGGAGAGCTAGCCGAGGAGGAGGAGGAGGGGGAGGAGAGTAGCCCTGACAAAATCTAACAACCCTCACCTGGCAGGTGGGGAAAAACAGGAAAAGCAAAAAAGCAGAAAAGCAGAGAAGCAGAACAGCGGACAAGCAGAGAAGCAGGAAAGCATACCAAAAAAATGCAAATGCTGCCGCAAAAAAAATAGCCCTCCATTGCACAATGTATAGTTAAGTTTTGGCAGTCGCTGCAACCTGGTCCAGCAAAATCAGTGCATCGACGAAAAAAAGTTCACAGAAAAAACATGCGCCCACCTGCCAACCCCACCGTCTACAAGTCCATATCTGTCAGCACCCTAAGAGAAAACTACCCCCAAAATCCAAACACACCTAAACCAGCAAACGGACAGCACCATGTCCAGGGGTGAGGGATCAAAAAAAACAATATCTAAGGCATCAAACACATATTCCCCTGGAACCCCTTGTTTTCTATGGCCCTTGCGACAGTTTGGAGACAAAACCGAGCATTTCTGTGGTATATGCATCGTATTGGAAGTGGAGCCTCTCGCCCGTAAGGTTTTTGCAGGACATTGGACCTAGAAATCGACGATGCTGCCGTTTTGACAGCACCTGCAACACTTTGGAGTTCGATTTTTTGATTTTCGAACTTACGTTGGTTTAAAGTTTGTTGATGTTTGGTTTAGGGTTGATTTAGGCTTGGTTGACTTAGGTTGGTTTAGGGTTAGTTTAGGGTTGGCCTGTGGTTTACTAGGTGTCTATCCAGGGTCGGTAAAAGGTGAATTTAGGTTTCGTTCAAATATTATTCCCCACTTGCCAGGTGAGGGTTGTTAGATTTTATCAGAGTTGTTCTTCTCCTCCTCCTCCTCCTCGACTAGCTCTCCTCTTCCTCCTCCTCGTCCTCCTCCGCCTCCTCGTCCGCCTCCTCCCCCTCCTCTTCCACTTCCACGTCCACTGTTGCCTTGCCAACTCTTCGCCAAGCTCTTCGCCAACGTCCGAGCTCAGTGTGCACCGCTGGACCTCAACCTGGGACCTTCCCAGCTCAGTGTGCACCGCTGGGCCTCAACCTGGGACCTGCCGAGCTCAGTGTGCACCGCTGGACCTCAACCTGGGACCTTCCCAGCTCAGTGTGCACCGCTGGACCTCAACCTGTGTGCACCGCTGGACCTGAACCTGGGACCTGCCCAGCTCAGTGTGCACCGCTGGACCTCAACGGCCAAATAGAATGCCAGAAGAGGTGCCAGATAGAATGTCAGATAGAATGCCAGAAGACATGCCAGATAAAATGCCATGAGATATGCCAGATAGAGTGCCAGAAGATATGCCAGATAGAATGTTAGAAGATATGCCAGATAGAATGCCAGAAGGTATGCCAGATAGAATGCCAGATAAGATGTCAGATAGATTGCCAGAAGATATGCCAGATAAAGTGCCAGAATGTTTGCCAGATAGAATGCCAGAAGATTTGCCAGACAATATGCCAGAAGATATTCCAGATAATATGCCAGAAGATATGCCAGATAGAATGCCAGAAGATATGCCAGGTAGAATGCCAGAAGATATGCCAGATAGAATGCCAGAAGATATGTCTGATAGAATGCCACAAGATTTGCCAGTAACAAAATGTATAAATGTCATGGTGGGGATCACACGAAGTAAAGCAAATTAAAGTTATGTTATTTTTGTTGGTGTTTATGTAGGGTTGTTTCAGGATTTATTTTGATTTTGTTCAAGACTTTGTGGTTCAGGTTTCGTTTGGGATCTATTGAGGGTTGGTTGTTTGTTTATTCAGGGTTGGTTCAAGATTTGTTTAGGGTATATTTAGGGTTGGTTTAGGGTTTGTTTAGGGTTAGTATTCAGATTTGTGTGGATGGTGCTCAAAATTTATTTAGGGTTGATTCAGGATGTATTTGGGATTGGTTCGTGGTTGGTTTGGGTGTTATTTAGGGTTGGTTCAGGGTTTCTTTAGGGTTGGAAGGACCAAGGGACCGGAGGACCAAAGGACCAAAGGACCAAGAGACCAGGGGACCACGGGACAAGAGACATACAGGTTAACTCCGACTAAGGAGTCTTAACTCCGACCACTTTGTCTTAACCACGCTTAGGGGTCTTTAACCCCGACTATGGGGTTCTTGTTCCAGTCTAGATGGCATGTTCCTTGGAAGATTGTATGTTTCCTTTCTTTTGCAGCCATCTTTGGCTGGTGTTCGGCAAGTTGCACTCCATGGACAAGGCCCGGGCAACTCATGTTCTGTGTGTCCTGTTACTAACGCCTGAGACATCTAGGGTTGTGGTAGGCTTCAGCGTCGAATGAAAAGGACTCAGAAATCCAGGGTTTGCAGCCTAAATCCTCCAAAAAGCGAGTTCTTGTGTGATAGGCTTCGCGTCCCGCATCCTTCTCCTTGTTCTTGCCTATGACTCACTACGCGGAAGTTCGCTTTGGTCTCCTCACTTCTTCACTTGCCCTTGTCCACGAACTTGATGCTACATACGCCTTACCTCTACGCCTGACTTCTCTCTTGTCTTTGGTGAGGTCGTCCTCGGGTTCTGTCTCCCGCTTACTCAAACAGTCGGATTCCCGGAAACATCCTGTGTCGAATGAAAAGGACTCAGAAATCCAGGGTTTGCAGCCTAAATCCTCCAAAAAGCGAGTTCTTGTGTGATAGGCTTCGCGTCCCGCATCCTTCTCCTTGTTCTTGCCTATGACTCACTACGCGGAAGTTCGCTTTGGTCTCTTCACTTCTTCACTTGCCCTTGTCCACGAACTTGATGCTACATACGCCTTACCTCTACGCCTGACTTCTCTCTTGTCTTTGGTGAGGTCGTCCTCGGGTTCTGTCTCCCGCTTACTCAAACAGTCGGATTCCCGGAAACATCCTGTGTCGAATGAAAAGGACTCAGAAATCCAGGGTTTGCAGCCTAAATCCTCCAAAAAGCGAGTTCTTTTGTGATAGGCTTCGCGTCCCGCATCCTTCTCCTTGTTCTTGCCTATGACTCACTACGCGGAAGTTCGCTTTGGTCTCTTCACTTCTTCACTTGCCCTTGTCCACGAACTTGATGCTACATACGCCTTACCTCTACGCCTGACTTCTCTCTTGTCTTTGGTGAGGTCGTCCTCGGGTTCTGTCTCCCGCTTACTCAAACAGTCGGATTCCCGGAAACATCCTGTGTCGAATGAAAAGGACTCAGAAATCCAGGGTTTGCAGCCTAAATCCTCCAAAAAGCGAGTTCTTTTGTGATAGGCTTCGCGTCCCGCATCCTTCTCCTTGTTCTTGCCTATGACTCACTACGCGGAAGTTCGCTTTGGTCTCTTCACTTCTTCACTTGCCCTTGTCCACGAACTTGATGCTACATACGCCTTACCTCTACGCCTGACTTCTCTCTTGTCTTTGGTGAGGTCGTCCTCGGGTTCTGTCTCCCGCTTACTCAAACAGTCGGATTCCCGGAAACATCCTGTGTCGAATGAAAAGGACTCAGAAATCCAGGGTTTGCAGCCTAAATCCTCCAAAAAGCGAGTTCTTTTGTGATAGGCTTCGCGTCCCGCATCCTTCTCCTTGTTCTTGCCTATGACTCACTACGCGGAAGTTCGCTTTGGTCTCTTCACTTCTTCACTTGCCCTTGTCCACGAACTTGATGCTACATACGCCTTACCTCTACGCCTGACTTCTCTCTTGTCTTTGGTGAGGTCGTCCTCGGGTTCTGTCTCCCGCTTACTCAAACAGTCGGATTCCCGGAAACATCCTGTGTCGAATGAAAAGGACTCAGAAATCCAGGGTTTGCAGCCTAAATCCTCCAAAAAGCGAGTTCTTTTGTGATAGGCTTCGCGTCCCGCATCCTTCTCCTTGTTCTTGCCTATGACTCACTACGCGGAAGTTCGCTTTGGTCTCTTCACTTCTTCACTTGCCCTTGTCCACGAACTTGATGCTACATACGCCTTACCTCTACGCCTGACTTCTCTCTTGTCTTTGGTGAGGTCGTCCTCGGGTTCTGTCTCCCGCTTACTCAAACAGTCGGATTCCCGGAAACATCCTGTGTCGAATGAAAAGGACTCAGAAATCCAGGGTTTGCAGCCTAAATCCTCCAAAAAGCGAGTTCTTTTGTGATAGGCTTCGCGTCCCGCATCCTTCTCCTTGTTCTTGCCTATGACTCACTACGCGGAAGTTCGCTTTGGTCTCTTCACTTCTTCACTTGCCCTTGTCCACGAACTTGATGCTACATACGCCTTACCTCTACGCCTGACTTCTCTCTTGTCTTTGGTGAGGTCGTCCTCGGGTTCTGTCTCCCGCTTACTCAAACAGTCGGATTCCCGGAAACATCCTGTGTCGAATGAAAAGGACTCAGAAATCCAGGGTTTGCAGCCTAAATCCTCCAAAAAGCGAGTTCTTTTGTGATAGGCTTCGCGTCCCGCATCCTTCTCCTTGTTCTTGCCTATGACTCACTACGCGGAAGTTCGCTTTGGTCTCTTCACTTCTTCACTTGCCCTTGTCCACGAACTTGATGCTACATACGCCTTACCTCTACGCCTGACTTCTCTCTTGTCTTTGGTGAGGTCGTCCTCGGGTTCTGTCTCCCGCTTACTCAAACAGTCGGATTCCCGGAAACATCCTGTGTCGAATGAAAAGGACTCAGAAATCCAGGGTTTGCAGCCTAAATCCTCCAAAAAGCGAGTTCTTTTGTGATAGGCTTCGCGTCCCGCATCCTTCTCCTTGTTCTTGCCTATGACTCACTACGCGGAAGTTCGCTTTGTGAGAGATGAGTTGAGTGGGTTGAGGTGTGAGATGAGTTGTTTGAGATGAGTTGAGTGGGTTGAGGTGTGAGATGAGTATGTGTGAGATGAGTTGTGTGAGCTGAGTTTGTGTGAGATGAGTATGTGTGAGATGAGTTGTTTGAGATGAGTTGAGTGGGTTGAGGTGTGAGATGAGTTGTGTGAAATGAGTTCCTGTGAGCTGAGTTGGTGTGAGATGATTTGTGTGAGATGAGTTGAGTGGGTTGAGGTGTGAGATGAGTATGTGTGAGATGAGTTGTGTGAGCTGAGTTTGTGCGAGATGAGTATGTGTGAGATGAGTTGTTTGAGATGAGTTGAGTGGGTTGAGGTGTGAGATGAGTTGTGTGAAATGAGTTCCTGTGAGCTGAGTTGGTGTGAGATGATTTGTGTGAGATGAGTTGAGTGGGTTGAGGTGTGTGAAATGAGTTGAGTCAGGTGAGTTGAGTGGGTTGAGGTGTGAGATGAGTTTGTGTGAGATGAGTTGTGTGAGATGAGTTGTGTGAGCTGAGTTTGTGTGAGATGATTTCTGTGAGATGAGTTGTGTGAGATGAGTTTGTGTGAGATGAGTTGTGTGAGATGAGTTGAGTCGGTTGAGGTGTGTGAGATGAGTTGAGTCAGATGAGTTGAGTGGGTTGAGATGTGTGAGATGAGTTTGTGTCTGAGATGAGTTGTGTGAGATGAGTTTGTGTGAGATGAGTTTGTGTGGGATGAGTTGTGTTAGTTGAGACACTTCCGCCATTGCCTAGCTCAATGCATTAGCTTGTCCATTGTGTTTTCCTTCCATACGAAAAAAACCTCTACTTCCTCAATCTAGGCCCCAAAAAGAACCCGGTTTTTTAACCTTTTTGCGCCCAAAACCTCCAAAAACCGAGTCCTTTCCAGGACCTGGCAGAGATGGCTACAACGGACGAGTGGACAAAAAAAGAAGCACTGGTTGGGACGGATGGAAAAACCCCATAGTCGGGGTTAAGGCACCCCAACAGTCATGGTTAAGGCACCCAACAGTCATGGTTAAGAACCAAAGCCAGTAACGGTTAAAACCCCAAAAATAGTAACGGTTAAAACGCTGTCTCGACAAGAGAGGACTGAAGGACCGGGAGATTCAAAGACCACAAGATTTGAAAGTGGCATAAAAGGGGCAAAACACTGCACCAGCGCAGGAAAAGTTAATATTTTGTTTTGATTCCTTTTAAAAAAATATTGATGCCTCATTTTTTTTTGAACCCAATGCCTGTCCAAACCATGTCCAACCCTCGAGCTAGACTCCAAAAATGGAGTTTGACATAGTTTGACATTGGAAACAACCCCTCACTGAAAACGAAGGAAGAGGTCAATCATGTCCGAAACCTACTTATGTTCAAACTCAAACGAACAATTTACTTTGGCCAGGGCTTGAACCACTTGCACCTATTGAAATAGCAGGGTTTTGTTGGATAAGAAGAAAAAAACAGCCGGCCCAGATCACCCTGCTGAAGAACATACCCCTGCGCACCTCAGCAATAGGTGACACAGCTTCATATTTGGCCTTGCAATGTATGGCCCCAGCGGCGCAACCGCACCCACACAATCCGGCGACGACCGAGAGTCGACTGCGTAACTTGGAGATAAAGCAAAGGAAAACAAATAATTAAATACAAAATACAAATCCCAAAACACTTCCCGGACCCAGCGGCTCTCGCAAACGGCCTGAGACGAGCCACCGCAACCCATGACTCTGGCGTCCTGGAGGCAATCAAGAACTCCGCAGCTCTCTGTTGAATGAGTCATTGAATGAGAGGAAATTTATGAACAATCTTCGCAAAAAACATGAGACCCTCAGTTTGGGAAGTGATTGGGGGCGCAGGATTTTGCAGTTGAATTCTGTTGATTCCATGCCTGCCATCGTATTCCCACAATTAAATTGTGGTGGTTCACCAAGTGTGCCGGATTTTTCAATGTTTCAATGTATGGCATGTCTCCAAACAGCGACTTCCAGCATGTCTCTGTTCCTTTGGAGCTCCAAAAGTGGTGACCAAAAGTGTGATGCGAGATTTGTGCGGTCATCTACCATGACAAGGCCATGGTCGGAAGTATCCATGTTTTTATAGTTTGCTTATCATAAGTTTCCATGCTTTGGGCATCTGGGCATGCCATTTTTGATCAATCCTTTGAAACCCAGACTCTCAATTGACACTGAAAGTGACAGTTTTCTGTCACTGGCAGCCAGAACAAACACTGTGTACTCTCAGCCCAGGACCAATCAACCTTTAAAGCTAATTTCCCAATGCAGGGTTAATGTGTCAACTTTTGTTGGTGCAAAGATGTGCAACGCAAATGGTTTGAAACTCAAGTGCTTAGCCTTGCCCCGCACGAAGTGAACCAGGAACTCCAAGAGGCAAAAGATGCTTTTCCAGTTGGAATTTCATGGAAATTCATATCGAGTTATGACTGTTTCTTGCCATGCAGCCAAGGAGGTTGACGGAGCCTCGTCACTACTGAAGTAACCGCTTGTCCCCCTAGCTGCAGTCGAACCCTGTCCTTACAGGAGGCCGACTCGGCGGTCAAAAGCCTCAAGGAGTGATGTAAGAAATTGCAATTTTTGTGGGCAAAACATGAAACCATGGAGTTCATAGAAACCCATTTGCATACATTGTGAAGGCTATGTAAATCCAATGAGACAAAGGAATCATGACAGAATAAACGCATCACTGATTCGGAACCACAAAAAGAACCAATGAAACTGAGACAAAAAATGCAAACCCATTTCAAAGAGAAATTACGAGCTACTTTGTTGCACAAAATGATCAAGCAGGATATGAACACGAAACAGCACACCGATAAAGCTCAAAATCGCAGGACCACGTGCTGCTGTGCGGTTACAAGAAGCTTTGGCTCGTTTGCAGTTTGAACAAGCTTTGTCTAAGAGCACAGCAGAAGACAGCAGAAGGTCACGTTTCTTACTCGTGGTATTCAACCGACCTGGCAGCGGTTTCAGAAACCCAGGAAGTGCCAGCTCGGTCAGATTGCTGGATCTTGGGGTGCCATGGTCAGGTCCAAGATGAATTTCCCGTAACTTTCTCCGCAAACTTGTCAGCGAAGAATTGGTCGCAGGAGTTGATAGGATCAGCGAGGTGAGTGGGAAACTGAATGGATGCCGACTGGGAAACAAATCACGTCACAAAATGAAGACCCAGCTGGTTGGCTGGCATTAAAGAATGTGTTTCGAACTAGTTGGTCAGCAGAATCTGATGAGACCTAGAACAATGCAAAAGCCATTCTCAACCCTTCAAACAATTGTGATCTAATGGAGTTTAGTGGATTAAATCCACTTTAATTCCGCAAGTTTGGGGGAAATGTAGCACTGAAGCAGCGGTCCCCGAGGCCCCAAAAACAAGACATCCTTAACAGGTTCTGGTTTCATAATGGTAATCTTAATGAGAAAATACTGAAAAAAAGTGATAGGTCATTGGGTTGTGTTTTTTTCTAAGTTTGGCATGGAAAGTGGACATGGAAATAGTCACTTGCATTCACTTGCCATGGCTGTGTTTAACTACCAGAGGGTATGTCTTGGCACAGCAATACCATGCTACAAAACAGGGACAGGCAAGGTGGAATTGTATGGAACGATTTATCCGCAATTCGTCGCTGCCAACGACGCCGCAGAGAGGATATCTCGCCTGTCGGATCTCGTATGCGACGCTATGGCTTGCTGACGAGCTGGTGAAACTGAATGCAACACTGGGATCATTGGACAAGCATTGTACCCTTGTCGTGCCATCAACACTCGCAGCTGTTGATAAACTCTGAATCTATGCCATTGGGTTAAGAAATGCCGACCTTTTGCAAGAGTGATTGCTCGAATCCACCTTGCGATCACATCCATGTTCGTCTGTATTAATGTTTTTTGCCGATTTGTGCAACATACTCTTCCCAACAAATGTTCTTCCTTCTGCCGGCACGCGGAATTTAAATTTATGTTCGATCTGAAAACTGGGGTCCACTTTGGTTTGATGGATCGGTTTCCTACGCGGCTTCAAGTGTGCCAACGGCACCATGCAAAACATTGGCAGGAACCAAAAAGTCGCGCAATCTGTGAGTCCAATGGGGACAATACTCATCGAGGAAAGGCAACCACAAACAAAAGCTATGAAATCTGGATGATTTCAATGAAGTGCAACCAGACCCTCCACTCCGCACCCTATCTGGCTAAGAGTTTTGGAGCGCGCTGCATCACAAATGATCACACAAATCACTCCAATCAGGAAGTCTCATGGTCTAAAAAGAGAGTTGTTAGAACTGATACTATCCAGGCATGAACCTCATCGCAGTTTCATCGTGCCAAGAACTGCTTTGGGATCTGGATGAATAAGTTTTTTTTTTCCTCCGGTTTGGCCGATTCGCACTAGGCACGGTCCTTACAATTGCGTAAGCAGTGAAAAGCAGTAGTGTGCAGGACTCGTGTGGTCCAAAATCTCCGGCAAATCATCACGAGAAACAAGCCAAACAACAAGAAACACAACCAAAGACGACCCGCAAATCCCCCAGCCAGATTTGCGTTTCGCCACAAAGCAAGACAGCGAAGCAACAAAGAAAGGGGCAGGGCCCAACAAGAACCAAAACAAAAAACTCTCAGATTTGCCTTGGATACAGCGACCTTAGCCACTGTATCATCCTCAAAAACATGCAAACTAATTAATTGCGGCGGTGCATGAAGTGTTGTACCTGTTGCCCAGACCGTCTTACCTGAGAACAGCAAAGAGAGTCCAATATTGTAGGCAGACTGATGTGTGGTTCGACAGAGGCCGCCTGTATGAACGATTTGTCAATAAATCAACTTCCGCATCGCTGCTGTTCACCCTGTATTGTTCAGCGTACGCCAGGCGATCTGTTCCTGTCAGTATACACCACCGCAAGGGACTGTAATCTATTTCCCCCCCAAGACAGGGAGGAGAGCACTGACAGCCTGCAACATGGTGTGAGCACTTGCAGAAACCGTCACGTGACTTGTGCCCAAGACACTAAGGCCGTGGGTGAAACGGTGGCTAAAGGCCTGACCGGCTCAGTACGGCCATGACAGACAAATGATGTTTCGATCATAACATGGGCTCGTGAGCACTTCCAGTGTGATACTGCAGGTAGGTATACACAAGTCGCATTCGCATTGCTGTAAGACTTGTTCACTAAAACGATCAAAGATGAGGTGGTTCGGTGCGCCAGCACCAGATACTCAGACAGGAGTCACTAGGCGTCATCGTCCCAGCAAGTTCTGCGGAGAGGACCGGATGCACAGAAAGGCAACTGTATATTCCAGACAAAGCCACTCTCCCACCGAGTGGGCCATAGGCCAGAGCAATACAGAAAATCCGCACAACGAACCATGTGGGCAGGCTTTGCTGCACTCGGGCGCTCCAGACTGAACTGCAGGAAGCACAACTGGACAGCGCCAGTAGTGCTCACTGCAGTGCAGCCTAGTCCATGGCTCTACCGGGAATCTACCGCCCCTTAAGAAAACACACAGGAACAAAAAACAGAGAGAGAAGGGCACATCCCAATACAGCCAAAGAGGAAGCCACCTGACAAATAAAACACAAACAAACCAACAAACAAACGAATTCAAAAGGGGAACAAATTAACAAAAAATGGGGAGGGGAAGGTGAGCAAAGGCTGTCCCACCTCGGATAAATCCTTAGTCACTACCGGATGAGATCAATGTAGCCATGGTGAAAAGATGGGTGACTGTGCAGAGCTGTAACCTCGGTATCCAGGCAACAGAGGAAGCAAAAACAACACACGCCCAAACAACATGAAACCTGCCATCAAGGGGGAAGCAAAGAGGGGGGAGCGGCCAAATTCAACCCACGCAAAACTACAAGCCAACAGAGGAAACGAGGAGAGGAGCCAGGAGGCAGCAGAGGACAGAGAGAGAGAGGACACACACGCACAAGAAGGGGTACGAACATGTCATAGCGGAGTCCAAGAAGGGGACAAGGATCATACAATGATGAATACCTCAGTGAGGGAGCACACAGCACCCCAACAACACAGGAAACATGGTGTAGAGGGAAAGATCCCCACACAGGGCCAAGGCCTTTGTTGCCATGAGACATCATGAGGAGGGGAAACAGTGCGCAACAAACACTCCACGCGCAGAGGCACGGCAACCAGGCCGTCGCCGGAAGCAACGATACCCAGAGGGAGGGACCAGTAAAACCTGGACCAGGGCGCCAACGAGGACCATCCGAGGGGGAGGGAGGGCTACGGCAGGCAGGGACCAAACAAAAACCAAAACAGAATCAACAACCGAGGCACTACGCCTACTGTAACTCTGCAAATTGCAAAAACTATAGGTAAGACGATGAATTCACGTACCTTAACTAGTGGGAAGGGTGGGAGAGGGGTAGTCTCGTCAGTATTACGTCAGGGGATAGCGGAAACGGTTGCATCATCATCTATGATTGTCAGGCACCGGGTACGAGAGCATGCGCTCATGCAGTAGGCTTCATGGTGTGAGGAGGCCTTAGTATAATCTAAGCTCTCGACTGGAC